CACACACACACACACACACACACACACACACACACACACACATATGGACATGCACACGCAGACACTCACACCCAGGGGCGGATTAAGGCTCACTGGTGCCCTAAGCACTGACCAATCTTGGTGCCCCCCTCTTTTCCACTGACCCAGTCCATTTTAGTTGTTGACCTGTCTGACCAGATATACAATGTAGGTTGCAGCAGTACAAAAATATATGTAGGATTTCAATGAGGGTGGTGATAAACAGGCGGGGGGTATGGGGGTCCTCCCCCAGAAATTTTTTAAAATGTAGATCGCAGGAGATGGTATTTGAGGCACTTTTGAGCGTACATGCATGTACACCTTCATTCTGACTACGAGTCAATCTATTTTTTTATACGTTTCAGTTGTGAGAAAGACCTTTCTGTTGTGCAGTTGGTGACCATTAATGTTAAAAATATTCTCAAGGCAATTTCAACATTTGGAAAGGCACTCTGTAGTTTGTCTTCTGTAATTGTGTTGTAAAGTTCCATGTGAGTGAAAGATGTTTTCTTGGTTGTTTTAAACTTATGAAGAACATATGAATGCTGAAGCTCTGTAGACAAAGTGTTGTTCATGTCATCTGGATAAGCATCAATGAGTGTCTGACAAGTCTTTGAGTACCTTTCACTTTCGGATAATTGGGAATTAGCACCTTGTTGGGTGGCATTAGGGGCCCCTTGTATTGTATTGTATTGTTGGGGGCCCCTTGTGGTACACCTGGGAAGTAAAAATCTTTATTCGTTTTTTTTCTTTTCACCCTTTTCCCAACTTTGTGGTGCCCCCTTTGGCACTGGTGCCCAAAGCACGTGCTTAGTCTGCTTAATGGTTAATCCGGCACTGCTCACACCTACATACACCGACTGTCTCTAAAATGAGTGAGCCTCGTCGGCACGTTTTCGTTTCGAGCTATAGGATCGTGCATAACTGGAGTGTGTATCGTGGACTGAACTTACTACGTACTGTGGGCTGTCACCATTTATAATGTCACCAGAGGGCGCCACGTTATGGGAGAGTATCATCCACTGATCTCTATAATATAATAATTATATTATATTATAGAGATCAGTGGTATCATCATAGATGGTCATCATCAGTGGTATCGTCATAGATTATATCAGGAGTGTATCAATATGTATCAGGACGTATTGATACACTCCTGATTATATTATAGAGATCAGTGGTATCATCACATATCATATTCATTCATATTATTAGGAGTGTCCGAATAATGTGTGTGCGTGCGTGCGTGCGTGCGTGCCTATATTATTACACTCCTATTAGTATTATCCTGATATTATTATTATTTATTTCATTCTATACACCTCTCATCCACCCGTCCCTTCTCTATGTCTCCCGACTTACTCTTTGGCAACGCGGTATCGTTTATCAGCGCGCTCAGGCTAGAAATCGTGCTGTGGCAACGAATGAAGGGGTGCCTACAAGAGCCCTGACAAAGAGATGAGAATTAAGGCTATTATATACTAAATAGACAATTTATTTTTTCTACGGTCTCGCTGTCACTTGTAAACACGTGCATTCTTAGTAGTCAGCTTTAGTCTCATGTCTCGATCTTTTCCAGACAAATATTTTCTATATTTCTAATTTGTCTATTCTCTAATTTAGCAATAGATGTTTCGATCCCTCGTAACAGCCTTGGTGTCATTCCGCCGTGTCCTGGCACTTTGTCTGGTGTCAAGTGTTGTAGTGTTCTTACTACATAATTTGAACCAAATGAAATATTTCCGAATACTTAACCAGCTTCGCCAGGCAAGTCAGATATCTGTTCAGATTCAGGAAGCATCTCTAATGGTTCGTACGAGCCTGAGATTATTATATTTCGTTTAGCATCATACGCTACTTCTCATGCTTTGACACTACCGCCGACCAACGGCAACGAAAATTTTACATAATTTTATTCGGCGTTGCAGACAAAATGAGTTATGCCCGGCGCACACGTGAGTAAAATACAGTTAATAGTTAGCTACAGCCCTGAATACAGACGTGAAAAAGTCATCAGACAGGCCAGCAGCTATTTTTAAATCTCTTAATTATCACCTCTTCTCTTTCGTCGGTCAGTGGCCCAACCATAGAAATAATATAGATAACCTATGGATATCTATCAGGAGTTGATATCTATGTTATGGTTATCTATATTATTTCTATGATGCCTGTTATTTCTATTCTATGGACCTGTCTTTGGTGTTGTACTTTGTTAATGCATAATCGTAAACGGTTGATCTACCCGTATTAATTAATATTTTCCGCAAATTTAAGCTCATGGGTATGTTCAGCTTGTCGTATTGCATTGGTTGCCTTGCTGGAAGCCTGTTTGTATACTGCATGATAAGGATATTGCTAAGACTATCTACACCGTCGCCACAGTTTGTATCTGCGGCGTCTATAGTTTTCTCTGTTTGCGAAGTCATCAATACTGGTTTCCTCCCGTACTTCTCTCCGTTCTACCGCTATGCGACCAATTCTGGCATTACGAGTCCCCCATGCACCGGCTAGCGGAGACATGCCTGTAACCACTCGGATCCGAGTCGGATATGATTCAGATCTGATACTTAGGCCTATTTCTGGAAGACTGGAAGGTAGTTTCTAATTAAAGTCCTGTTAGAAATATGTAGATAACATACGGTTTAAATCTTCACACAACCTACACGTACGCCAGGTTACGACGGCGGTAATCGGAAAGTGACGCAAAAAAATAAATTGTCATTGTTATCATTGACATTGTCATCGTTGTCATTGTTATCATTGTTATCATTGACTTCGGTATTGATTCGACGTAGCGAGCATTGCATTGTTTCATGTATCATTGTATGAATAAGTGGTATTCACGGTGTATGAACGTATTCACGTTGTATGAATAAGTGGTATAATAGGCCTTTTTTTTAACAATATTATTTTTAATTAGTTTTTATCTCCTGATTTTATTATTGGTGCGGCGCAATTGCGTATAGTGAAATGCTCAAGTTACGTGAATTACTTTATACCACCTGATGATGATGGCAGATGAGTGTGCCAGTACTAGTGGTGGCCTGAATTTTGTATCCAGTTATGTTGTGTAAAGTAGGTGGACTCTATTACTGCGATCCTGCAGTCCTGGTACCATTCCATGAGCCTAACTATCTTGGATAGCAGGAAGGATACGTAATAGGGCTAGTTCTCTGCATGCTGACCAACTATCAAGTACTTGGCCACGGCGTAATGAAGATTTAGGCCCCTACAAACATTCTGAATTCAAAAAAACGATTTACAAAGACGGAATATCACACTATATATATTTTTAATGTACATAGCAACATTCTCATGATGACACCTATTATATCAACAGCAGACCATGTCATGCCATAGCCATGGAGCCAGCTAGCACTCTTGATTATACCACACAATAAGTTACAATAAACATTACATTGTATTGTACATCATAGCTTATAGAGAACTATTTATTACAACGCGTAATGCTGTCATTTTTAATACTTACTTTGTGCCTTTATTCATGAAAGTTCACCACGTGTACTATTTGCTTTTGTAGTTTCTATAGTGACTACGGTATTATATAAATTTACTAGGGGTGCTGTGACGGTTCTTGCTATGACAATTTGGCAAGCACTTAATAAATAATGAAACATGGATATATGTGTATATGTAACTATGACAACGATATCTGTTTTTTTTTCTGAAACCTCTGGCTACGTTTACAAATTCAGCCACACACTATTACGAAACACAGACCACCGCAATGATTGTACTACTCAAACTCACACCGAAACGCATCACTGCACGTTTTCTAGTGACTATCGGATCACACGCGGACCGTTATCAATAACATGTGCCACATCTTCAAATAGATATCCGGAACAACAAATACTTCTGAAACACATGACAACATGAGCATATCGACATCACTGTCGTTGTCAATATACCTGATCACAAGATGGAGGGGAGGAGTGTAGGGGGATTCACAACTTGTCGAAATTTTATGGTTATAGTAAAGACGTAGAATACATATGAGATTCAACTCCTCCTCCTCCTGTCAAAAAACAGGGTGGGTGATAAAGGGCCTTAGGCTGAGAAAATTCCTAGGGGGAGCAAAATTTCATGACTCAACTGTGTAATGATAATAAATTAATTTAATTTTAGGGTTATTTACGATCATTAGCCAAGCTTATTTTTTAATTTTTCTCTAAAATCTATGCGGTAGTGACCCCTTGCCACCCCCAGAGGCTACGGCCCTGTGATAACGGCCCGCTGGTGAATAGCAGGAAATAAAATGTCTAACCACTACATACATCGTATATGGTCTGTGAAACAAGCTATATTATATACCATCAACCATCATGACATTCCATCCAAGAGATACAAAACATCAACCACCTCCTTGATACACAGTCAACACTGGCCCATACAACACACACACACACGACACCGCGCACGCGCACACGCAACACGCACACACACACACACACACACACACATCACGTCGTACGCACGCACGCACGCACGCACGCACGCACGCACGCACGCACGCACGCACGCACGCACGCACACATTACTTTGTGTTCAAAGCCCTAGTTAACGCCATTGTTTCACAATAGCAGGCTATTAGCATAACTACGGATTTGTCATACAAAAGCAGGTAAACATAAACTTAAAGATAACAGGATTCTAAACGAACGACAACTTGAGGGCATGGATGATATGTTCTAGCACTCGTGCATTACGCATACCTCATCAAAACTACTCCACAGCAACCGTATATAACTCCCTATACGACTGGTGTGTGTCTATTATTTCTGTGCGCATGTAGACCACAAATGTACACACTACAACTGCGTGAATATTATGCCTATTAGGTGCCACTATGGTGTACAGCTGGTACTCCTCTCATTTATTGCCTAACAAGGACATGTAACTCGCTTCCCTTTTCCTCCCTCCCTTCCCCCTCCTTCTCACTCTCTCTCTCTTTCTCGCACGCACGCACGCACGCACGCACACACATGCACACGTGCGTGCGCACATGCACCACTTTTGTCCACCTAAATGGTAAGTTTAAATGGCTGCCAGTGCCACCTCTACAGCTGCGTTTTGCTTTGCCTACCAATTACAACAAACATGTAAATGCGTGGTACGCAACAACAGAACGCCTGTACAGTATCCAGCCATCCTTTACTCTGCAGAAGGGTAACCGAGTGTACCCTAAAAATATTCATACCTACCAGGAAATAGCAAAAATAGCTATGCCACAGCGACTATGCCCTGATAAATAAATACTTCCTATATGCTGCATAATGCCCTGATGCTCTAAGCTCACTCCCTCACTGCCTTTACTATCCGCCCTGACCATGACATGTAAGATTGCTTCGGTAGTTCGTCAGCGTGGCCTAATCCATAATGAGCTCGTTCTCTCCTTCAACCTGAGGCAGCCAGATAAGCTACATGATAGCTCTAAAAGCTACAGTAATGAGCGAGAAGCACTGCAAGACCTAAACACGACTTGCATCTGTTAACAAATCTCACTATCCCAGTCACAGTCATATCTGTTCATTTTCCTGCCATACATGTTTATATCTGTCAACATCCGAGTCACACCTGTTCATAACTCTCACTACCCGAGTCACATCGGCACATCGGTTCAACATCTGCTGAGAACCGCATCGAATCGGCTGAACGTTGACTCTTACATATTTTGTCTTGTATTTATCTCTTCATATCTGTTGACTGTTCCCTCCAAGTGCGTTGCTCTTGAACATGGCTGTTATCTCCTCGATGGGACGACCCTTTGTCTCCGGAACAAATTTGTAGGTGAAGAGCCAGAAGAACAACAGCGAGCCAGTGAACACCAGGAACACGTACTGATCTATGCTGCTCTGTAAAACACGAGGGAAAGAGAGAATGTTGACTGTGGTATTGAACACCAGGAACACGTACTTATCTATGCTGCTCTGTAAAACACGAGGAAAAGAGAGGATGGTGAGTGTGGCAGTGAACACCAGGAACACGTACTTATCTATGCTGCTCTGTAAAACACGAGGAAAAGAGAGGATGGTGAGTGTGGCAGTGATTGAACACCAGGAAAACGTACTGTTCTAATTTCTATGCTGTTCTGTGAAACATGAGGGGATGGGAGGATGGCGAGTGTGGCGGTGAACACTAGGAACATGTATGTATAACACATGGTATGGCACCACCACAATGACCTTCAGCCTGAACTCACAGAGACTATCTGAGGGGGGTGGGGGACAATAGTGCGTACCTGTAGAAGAGGGAAGCAGAGACCAACAAGGAAGTTGGCGCTCCAGTTTGCCACGACACCGATGGTCATGGCGGCGGGTCGAGCACCCTGACCAAACAATTCCGCGGCAATGAACCATGGAATAGAGCCTGTGAGAAAGCAATCACCAACATTGAGAGAACTGCTTAGCACATTCAGAGTGATGACATGCACAATACTACAATTCAAACAAGTTTACAATAAAAGTTAGGTATAGTAAAAACAACTTCTGCTGGGAGACAAGACTTACCAGGCCCCGTAGCGAAGAAGATAACAAAGAGGAACACCCCAATAACACATATCCACGTTGCCCACAACATTTCTTTCTGAAATACAAATAAGATAATCGTTTACATAATTATAATGTCCATTGTCTATCATTCTCTCCCAGTGTGAACTCAGCAAGAGAAAAACCAAGCTAATAACTCGGAGTGACTAGGTGAAGCAAGTTAGCGGGACACCAAACCTCTCCTTGCAAGGAAGGGCTATCAAGCTTTATTTACTTTTTAACAACACTTTTTACATGAAGCAAAGACTAATACAAACACAACATTTTTCAACAAACAAAAACAAGAATTCTTTAGAAATGGCACATGAGCACACCAGGTAGGGCAGCCACAGCGATTTACTGCTGTACGTGTCGGTCAACCCTCAGGGGCAGCACAGGCGATAAAGGAAGACCACCACGGCACTTGCTGTCTGTGCCGAGGCAAACTTTCAGCCCAGGACACGCACACGAACCTTTATCAGTACGAGTGTGATGGTCAGCAGAACGGTCATCAGCAGCATGCCACCAAGGCCGATCAGGTGTAGGGTGCGCCGGCCGGCCTTCTCCACCAACACGACCGAGATAACGGTCATGATGACGTTGATGCAGCCCACACCGATCGTAGCCCACATCGCTCCAGTCGTACTCAACTGCGCTTTCGTAAAGATGCTGGTCGAGTAATACATCACCTAAAACGCATGACATCGTTGCTTAGTAATAATTCTTATGTGGCATAGCAACACGATGAGGCCTAGCAAGCAGCTTGCATGCTATTGACCTGCAAGCATTCCTCATTGTATATGGTTTTCAACAGAATAAGTATAGTAAGTAAAAGATTCAAAAACTAATATACACATATAATTATTATTTATACATATTTCACAAATTAAAATTATACTGGTCTTGTCTGACAAAGAACACATAGATGACAGGCTGAAATAAATGCACCACAATCCCCCAAATGATAATAAATAAATAATTTGCAAAAGGTCTTTCACTTTTGCCTCATCTTGCGTCGTGTCGAACCTTCTGTGTAACACTCGGCATTATATTACCTAGCCATGGAAACAGTAGATCGACATGCTGAATGCTGATGGTGTGCGCGATGTGGTACTTACGGCGTTTATTCCAGACAGCTGCTGGGACAGCATCATAATGACGGTAATCAGGAGAGGCATGCGCAATGCCCTGACAACAAACAGGTCCTTGAATGCCACCTGCAAAGGTAAATGAAATTTCTCAAAAACCTCGGCTGTACAGGTTTTACACTCACCCCCACGACACAAGTAAATACCAAGAGCAACCCTATAGCATATATGTCAAATTAACAATCGCTAATCAACGATAATCGTGCAGACGATGTTTTTAACTGCACCCCAACAAAGACGTGCTAGGCTTTGACTGATTTTGCTTTATGTATGTCTGCATCTTCCTGGGGGGGCTCCCTCGTTTTTGTTCAGCTTATCACTTCTCTTTTACTCTGGCACACGGCTGACACAAAACGTGCTGTGGTGTTACAGCACGTTAGATGTGTAACATAGTGGAACAGTAATTAGTGTGCATAGCAGTTGTAGGCACGGTTCATTGGGTTGGTTATTAAAAGTTGGACCAGACAAGTCCCAGCCGCTCAAACGTGTGCTGTGACTGGATCAGGATTCACTATAGCAGGCTTCACTAGCAGTGCTATGAGAGGAGTGGGGCATGACACAGCTAACACCGCGCCGTCACACAACTATAAACAGCCTTGACCAGTGGATCAAGTTGCTGACCAATTTAGCAAGCTTCACCAGCAGTGCCGTGAGCATATATAGACATTGTGTCATCATGACACAGATACACAGATGCCATAGCTGAGGCCGATCTAAAAACAACTACTACAGTGCCTATAGGAGTCAACGACAAGACGACAACACATTTCTAATAATTACTAGTATCTAATGTTGCCTGGTAATTCCTTATCCATCCGTATTGTATTCATACATGCATATTATGTAAAACATAAAATTACTACCAAATATATTTAAATGATTTACTAGTGTGCTAATTTTCAACAGCTGATCTGCTGTCTTTGTTAAGCTGCAGTCATGGCAGAAAGGTCGAGCAAATGCTCAGTACAGCATTAGTAACTACTACGACAAAATAAAATATGAAAACATTATTCCAAAACGATGGAAGTCTGTATTTGAGCACGCCGCCACCGCTGCCAGCGTCTGGCGTCGGCTGTCTGCCCCGGTGTCATTCCGTACCTTTGGCTCACTGAGCAGCTTCTGATTCTCAGACTTCATCTCGTCCATCTCTTCGTAGACCTCGGACGAGTTCCTCAACGTGATCAGAGCCTTCTGTGCGCGTCCCTCCTGTTGCTTGTCGATGAGCAGGTACTTGGGACTCTCGGGGCAGAACGGAAGTGTCACCAGTTGGAAGATAGCAGCAACGATCGTCAGCGCTGCAAAAGAACAGAGGAAGTGTAGCTGTGTAGCATGAAAATGTGCAAATGTTATATATAGCGAGATCGTGGGCAGTCTGGCATATGAATTCACGGGTGCACGCACACCTACGCGCGCACAGGAACACAGGCACGCACGCGTACACGCTCGCTCCCAACATGCTGCACTTATTGTGCACATTGTCTTGTACAGAGTAAATATTTGTTTCATGCTAACATATCTGTAAACAATGCCCTCTGTTTTGCCTAAATGAGAATTATCACCCAGGTGGCTAAAGGTTATCCAACCATAGGAACATTTTTCTTGGCCAATACATCTGCCGTGTTTGCTTGTACGACAAACACCACATTTGTAAGGTCTGCTTCCAATTACGTTTACTTGCCTGTTATGCAAATACACCTCAAAAGCTTCCCTGCTTAGCAATCACAACAAACACAACAACAAATGTTTGCCTTGGAAAACGCCCCGCTGGGTAACCAATAAAATGAAATCTCTTGGCTTTTTTGCTTTGCCTGCGTTACTACTTCAAGCATTACCATTTGAGATCAAGATTGTAATGATGAGTCACTACACTAGCTATACTGCACAGTTCTCCTCAGCATTACTGCTGCTTTGCATTCTTTAACTAAATTCCTGAGAAAAAGGCACAGGTTTAGAATCAGCTATTGTGGTTGGCAGAAAAACTTTTACATACACGTTTTATTTATTAGTTTAACACTGGTTTCAATCGGTGAAGTAACAGCAAAGCCAGATGGTTTGCAGTTTTGAATGCTAATTTTTTCCATAAAATAACAAAGTAGAACGGGAGCTATTCACCGTCGCCACGGGCAGCAATAGTAATACATAGCAATTGTGACACACAGCGTGGGAATATCGGAGGAAGCTCATAGACCGACTAAGGAAATGTGAATAATATAACATTCTGTGTGTGCGTGCATGCGGCTGGGCGTGCTGTGTGCGTGCAGGCGTTCGTTTTTGCGTGCGTGCGCGCGCGCATCTGTGTGCGTGCATTTGTCCGTATATATAATATATATATATATATAATCGCGTATATTAACATCGACGTTCTCTCGCTCCCTTACCCAGCAGGAACGGCCAGCCCGTCTTGCTTCCCAGGATGCTCGGCAGGCCCAGCAGCTGCGAGACGAGGATGGAGATGGTGACGACAAGCTGGTGCATCGAGCCGAGCGCGCCGCGCAGGTTCACGGGCGATATCTCCGTCAGATACATCGGGCCGGCGCCCGAGTTCAGCCCCGCGTTCAGTCCGATGAGCAGACGGCCGAGGATGAGCATCTCGTAGGAGCCGGCGATCTTCGAGAGCCCCATGAGGGCGCCAGCGATGATCGCGATTAGGTTGTTGGCCAGCAGGGTGCGCTTCCTGCGCGGAGACGGAGAGAGAAGGGGGTGTTGTTAGAGTGACGCCGTGTCACGTTGTGGGCGCGCGGTAACGTCGCCCACGAGAAGAACGTGCCGCCATCTATCCACGAGAATCGGCATGTGCGAGATGTGCTCCGGTCTATCGCAGCAATAACCGTTCGGAATAAGAGTTATAAGAAAATGCTTGCAGATAAAACAGTGTAAATGATATACAATAAAATCGTAAATAGACAGCATATTAAAGGTATGCGTGCCGCCATATCACCGCGACATGGCACGCAGTGCTGAGGAGAAGCTGCGACCTGTGCTGCCATCTATCATAGTAACGCCACTCACGACGCCAACTAGATACTGCTTTACCGGCTTATTACTCAAAAATAATTATAAATATGCTGTCTTTACACCACGTTCCTATCTTTACTCAAGAATTACACGTATGATTTTGTATAAAATTCCTATGGCAAACATCCGTCAAGTGCCTACCAATGCACCCACCTGCCAAACCTTGTCACCCAGAATGCTGTTGTTACGCCGCCGAAGACACCACCGACGCAGAATATGGCGACGGTGATCGCCCAGATGAGGTTGAGAGTCGAATCCGAGATTTCACCTTCCATGTTGGCCGTTGCATTTGTAGTCGCGTTACCGCCTCCTCCATGTCTCTCCCTGTACACTTCTCTTATCCACTCTTGTATGATCTACGCGAAAGAATGAACCATGTTGAATGAACGTCATTCTCGTTTAGACTGTTTACGAAACAAGTGTCACCTCTTCCAGACATCTTCGAACTCATCGCAGATTTCGTGATAATTATATTCGCATGAAAACTATCCAATGTTCATTGACAGCTTGACAGTGGCATATGCTGTATGCGTGTACAGCAATGTGTTTCTATGGTAACGATTTTATCCTTCGAGGGATCGTAAAAAGTTATTTTTATACCTGCTGCATTGGGTTACTGAGCAGCAATTTCCCTCTCACACGCATACACCAACCAATCAATAGGACCAGTATACCTTATAACTCCAAACTTTATGGCTTCACTGAGACATTTAAATCACATTATGAAAGCCATTTATAGAACCTCTCTCTCTCTCTCTCCTTCTATCTCTGACTCTGCCTCTGCTTCTCCATCCCTCTCTCACACTCTCCCCTTCTCTCTCCCTCTCTTTCTTTGCCTGAGGTTTCTCATTAAGCGACATGCAGGAAGCTGCTGCTGCCGCTGTGCGACAACACGCCGGACACATCATCAACGGGGAAAGCTGAATCACAGTTACAGCCGAGAGATGCGCGGGTGACACATCGCCTCACTTTCCTTCAGTGAGGATCACGTCCGGCATGCATCCCTAATCCATGACGCACGCGTGCACGACGGATACGCAGAGGTGTCACTGACAGATGTGACATGCTGCCACGCTTGCGATTCAACAGTGATAGCATCCGTGCATCAGTGATAGTTACTAGTCGTTAGCAGCCTTAGTAAGGCTCAAGGGGTCGTTGTCGTAACAGGTACTACAGATATGTACCCGAGGTACATATATGTATACACAAAGTGTACCAGACTTGTACTACAGAAGTGTACCCTAACCCTAACACTAACCCTAATCCTAACCCTAACCCTAACTCTAACCCTAATCCTAACCCTAAACATACCTCATATAAAAAATATAAACATAAATACTAAACAACCGCCTAAAACTACCTCGGGTAACATATCTGTAGTACCTGTTACGACAACGACCCTTCGTGCCTTAGTAAGCAGTGGCAGACTAATCTTTACTGTTTAACACTCGTTAGCAGGCTTAGTAAACAGCAGCAGACACTCACTATTCCTGGCTGATTGATGACTCCGGTGTTGTAGCCAAATTGGAACGATGATCCAAAGGCGCAGGAAACTGTTGCAAAATACTAGGTTGCTAGTCAGCCCTGTAACAAAGAGAAATATATTCACGTTTAGTATCGTAACAAAGAGAAATACGTGCATATTTAGTTCCTATAGTAGGTGAAACACATCCATTGTTAATCTTATACAGCATTAGGAAACAATATACCCATGTAAAAATGTGATGCAGCCCTACTAAGAGATTTATTTTAGATGCCCCAACCGAATTACCACGTTACTAACATTTCGAAATGAGCATTGCACATGCCCCTTCTCAACACATGAGCGTTAATATAATAATTAATATAATTAATATAAAAGGTCGGTGTCAATTATCAAAGCAGACTTGATAACCTGTCGGATTTTCGCCATTCCAGTGGTTCACCCTGGAAAGTTCTACATTGCAAATCTGTTGTACTTATATATATTGGAGTTGCACTATATATATATATATATATTATATTGAACGAGCTAGATAATGGATATGGATTCATTTTCACAATCAGTTACTTCGCAATAATAAATTTAAAAAATAAGCAGTAGTCTTTGTTGGCCAGTGACGCAGTTTATCGACAACAGAGAAACACTGCTAAAAATATCTGTCACACTAACGAGACAGTTTCTTTATGAAACCTAAAAAAACAATCCAGAATATATTCCACAACCCTTATCCAACAGGTTTGCCAAGACTTTGAAGAAGTCCAATAATTAAGCCATTTGACATTTCTCCAGAACAACAATGTAGACCAAAAATTCCTTAGCAGGAAAAAGCAGTGGCACAGATCTGATGCGCATGTAAATGTACAGTTTAGCTACTATATACCTCTGTCAGTACTACCAGAATTTTTCAGGGCCCCAAAACCGCGAAGTGGCCGGGTGGGCAAAATAGGGAGTGTTTTTACCAGTACTGTATGAACATGAAAGATAGAAACTCAACTACTAAGTTGTTTTGCGGCATAACAGAAATTATTTTATCAGTAGCGTCGTAAATCTATGCAAGAGCACAGAAAAGATTCGCAGCAGTTAGGGCAGGTTTGTATATATATATATATATATATATCAAAAGCTAATAATTGGTCTTATTATAATATAATTATAATTATATTAATAATACATAATAATAAAATGTATTATTAGCTCGATATATATATATATATATATATATATATATTATATACACTGCACTGCTAGAGTGCGAAGTAATAGTAGCGCAAATTCGCATGAGACGTACAGATAGATGCAAGTGGTTTTGGTCCTATAATAATCAGATGATATAGATTATACCAAAGAGCTGGGAGGAGCCTAATAAATACCGGTATAAGGTAAATAAGGTATTTATTGGCTCTTGATTATACGCTATAATCTTGATGTTCATTGGTAGTGGTGTACGCATTTATCACTCTGTGTGTACACAACAAGGAGAACACGCAGGCCGCCGGGTTCACCGACTTGCTGAGGTAAACATCGAGCGAAGATAAATTACATATCGCAATAAAATAGCAAAAGGTCAAGAGGTAATAATACCTCGTATTATCAGCCCTTGATAATGTATATATCAAAAGTAGATAATAGGAGATAATCTCTACTTAATGTACTCTTGATATATATATATATATATATATATAATGATTCCAAAAACGATGATACGTATTTTTTTACGTAAAATTATCTGATACCGATGACAGAGTCGAAGTCTTTTTTTAACGGGCAGATGAGAACGGGATACTAGAGAAGGGCGTTGCCGAAAAGGAGGTGATTGATCCGAAAGCGCTAAGCGGGAGATTGCTTGCGCCGCAGTTCCGCGCAAGGCGCACACAACCGCCGGGAAGCGTCGCTACCAAACAGTAATGCAGGCTGCAGCTATGGAACCGTGCGCCGAATGCATTGGCGCGGCGCACGGATCCCATAAGCATGCCAGCGAACAGTCCGCAATTTAGTGGGGACACAGAGGGTACGAACATTTGGGAACGTTGAACAGTGTTCACTTGTTATAAAAACATAATGTGTCTGTTCGTAACCGAAGCTGTGTGAGCCGAAATCACAGAAAAGACTGACGAAATTCCTCGGGCGTTCGCAGAACCTTGCCCAGTAATGGATTGGCTGCAAGAACAAAGGCTATATAGTCTGGGACTCGCTCCCACCTCGATTACCCAATCGAGTGACTAAGCTAAAGCCGACGAACACGTAGCAATGCTGAAAGGATGCTATCTCCAAGCCGGGAGCTGCGGAACGTACCCTGGGTAGCGGTCCGGTATACCGGAATGTACGACCTGGTAGCTATCTAATATGCCGGACCGTACTTCGCCTAACTCCACTAAACGAGTCTAGGGAGTCGCTACTAGCTACTCCTAACCCGCATAACGCCGAACGCCTAAACCATAGTGAAATAGTAACCAGGGTATACCGGAACGTAACATAGGGTACGTTCCGGCAGTACCCCCTGACGGACATAGACCCTATGAGGAGAGCCGTAGGGCATACTGCAGAAACGCGCCGCAAGAGACAAAACCCCACGGATTACCAAAATTTCCGGGCAATACATCGTATTATATGTTAGGACTCCTAGGCTATAGGCAGTAAATAAACGCTGTATATAAATATAATGGAACATTCAGGTTTTCATTATTCATTTCCTGTATTAGCGCATGAGCGCATTATGAAATTAGTGGGTTAATTTACGGTCCCAGTACACTTACTAACGCTCATGAAGGGTCTATGTCGCCGCCAGAGGGTACTGCGCGAACGTACCTGGTCATTATGTGATATGGTTAGGGTTAGGATTGAGGGTTAGGGTTAGGGTTAGGATTTGGGTTACGGGTTCGTGTTCGGTTAAGGGAGTAAGGCGTAGGCGAGTCCGCCTAAGACCCGTAGTGGAAGTAGGCGAGGTACGGTTCGGCATAATTAGATAGGTACCAGGTACGTTCGCGGTATAAACCGGACCGTAACCCAGGGTACGTTCCCGGCAGTACGCCCCGGGAGAACATAGACGCGGCTCATCAGCCTTACTAAGCCTTAGCTATCAGTGCTATGGATGAGTCAGTATACAGCAACTGCGTACAACTACAACTACTTGCAAGTACAACTCCGTCACTATGATTAGTAATGTAAATAAACCGACAAGACTGGTACATATGCAGTGTATAACCTGCAAGTCTGCAACTGCAAGAATCAAGGCTGCACCCTGCAAGATGATAGATTCAACATAACACGGCTACCGACAGCACGCCCCGGATATGTAAACAAATTTGTAAAGCTGGGCATCTACGGTTTGTTACATACTTATTTATAGTCCGTTAGTCTGCCCATAACAAAATTCGACCTTTCCTTTTAATTAAATGACCTTCCGATGAGAAAAATTTCAGTTGGCGGCTCGTCAATTATTTAACGAAATCAAACGACGAATCATAGAAACTTTTGCAATGTTACAAGCATAGACGCCATGCTAATCATCCATGTGCATATAGACTGGTACCCCCGGTCGACAGTTCCACACAGCTACACCTACGTGAGTGTAGGGCGATATGCGGAGTAAAGGTGGCGAACGGGTACAAGTCCTAACTATGGCTATACCTCGGCGTTCGATTGCGGCCATCTAAATCGCAAACGCCAAATGTACTAACAGCTGATCAAGCGAAAAAACAAACGACACGTGACACTATGAAATCAACTTCCGGTCATTAGCCGGCTGTTTTAGGTTAGAGGTGTGACGCGTCATCGCCGGACCAATGCGGAGGGCCCGCAGCTCGTGCACTAAAAGCTGACGCTGACGTTTTGTGGTTTGCATTATTTAGGACCTGGCTATCGTTAGTGTGCAATGACATGCACATTGCATTGAGATGGGTGGATGGTTACTGGTAATTTAAAACGAATTCTTTCAATGTAATGGCGCCCATTGGGACTGCGCAGACTGTTTTTCAGGCCACAAATGTGGTGTCGTTTAGTAAATTCGGGCGATATTTTTTTAAAAACGGGCGCCGGACAACATATGTCATAACTCCTAATGGTGCACAGCTGAAGTACATGGCTACCTAGCTTTAATATTGCCACTTGGCCGAAAACGGTCGAAATACTATTTTTCAGCTCCTGAAATTCAATTCTTAAGTATAGGATCCTATGGAGGATTTAATAGTGGTCTGTTCTCAAACAAACAACAAAGTTCAACTGCGTTTTTTACACGAAACCAAGCGTGCCGAGTAGAGAACTTCGAATTAGGAGCATTTCTAGGAAATCTCCTGCTACCTAGGTAGTGAAACCCGTAGTGCAATGGCCAGAACTCCTCAATTCAGCGAAGTTGGTGCTTGCGTTATATATGTAAACCGTGTAAGGTGATGTTGAAGGTGCAGCGAAATCGTGTAAGTGCCACCGCTGGCGCGGCGTTTGCGCGCTTCGCGCAGATATCCGGGCTGCAGACTGTCTAGGAATGCGACTCAGTCTCGCGCTAGAAACAAATCACATCTGCCCGCTCCGGTTGTTAGCCGTAGAACTATTTATAATCGGCGGCGGGGGAGCCTGCGATACTATATTAAGCATTCACGACCAGCCGGGGCTAGCCTTGCTGTAGCATGACCTTACAACTGGGAGAGCTACTATTGCATGGCTGCCTGCTCACTACTGACTGCCTGAACATTTCTGATTCCATACAGAAAAACATCTCTAATATCAGCATAGAGTCTCAGTAGCCAGAACCCCTTTTTAGGCAAATCCCATCAAAACTGTGTTTGATGGAGCATTGGGAATTGCTGGAAACTTGTATTTTATAGTTTGGAAATATATAGAGATTATATTGACTTCAGCCGGGAATTGCTCTTTCACGCAGTTGCAATTGTTTCAATAGTGACATCTATACAAAAAAGGTTGCTATAGCCTTGAGGTGGCATTTATAAAGCAGCTCCTCTCCAAATCATAGAGACGAGCAGCTATATCATAAACGCGCAGTGAAATAGGAGCAACTAGAGTTTATTTTGTCATAAGGTAGTGTGATTATGCATGACACGAAGTATTTGCTAGTCTAGTACTAGAGAAATTAGCGTTTGGATGC